CAGGTCACTACACACTCACAGCATCACCTAAAGGCAATGTCACCTCACCAAACCGGAAGGACTTCAATTGTTGCCATTTTGGAGTCAAAGTCCCAGGATATGTGTCTGGGAAGGCTGAACTTGAGTAAATTCAAGTCTTCAGGTAAAGGTAGTTTACTGAAATTCATCAGGATATACTTTGCAGAGGTAGATGTACTATCCAGAAATAAAATAATCAAAACCAATGCAGGATCTAGGAACTGAAAATGGTCATTAAAGGAAAAACTGGTGAAATCTGAATACTGACTAGAGTTTGGCTCCTAGCAATATTTCAGTATTGTTTTTTTAGTTTTAACAAATGTACCAGAGTAATGTAAGCTGATAACATTACAGGAAACTGGACCTGGGTGAGACATGTATGGGATTTCTCCGTACTAGCTTTGCAACTTTTCTGTATGTTTAAATTATGCCAAAATACAAAGTTTATTTTTAAAATCTTAGTACCAGTAAACTGATATTATTCCCAGTAGGAGTAATGAAGGGGGTCCAGAATGCTTAAACTTCTTTCATACAAGAGAAAACTTGCTTCTCTTGCCACCTTTGAACCTTGGCATAAAGAATGGTCACTGACAATGGAGAGATTGTGCTTTTTTTAAAAAAAAGACAAAACCAAACAAGTGCCATTTACTGCTCTGGGTCAATGCCAAGTGAAAAAGAGAGCTATGCAATATCTTTGCACTTTTCAAGCAAATCTTTTCCTTTTGTTGTCATGCCCTTTTAGTCCCAGTTTAATTGACTGGGCAAATGAACTGCAGCATTTTGCAGAAGCCAAAGGAGTACTGAATTTCTTAGAACCCTAATGCACACAAGCGAACTTCAGGAAGTTGTGCAACTTTTTCCAGAAAGGGGTGGGTAGACACAAGATCGAAGGAAATATTTGTCAACATGGCCGGGAGGAGTTCCTGCCTACACACGCGACATCGCAACGTTATTTAAACGGTTCATAAATGTCTTTCTTTAAGAATATGCTAGTAAAATTAAACAAAAGCACTAGGATCAACAGTCCTAGCAAACCAAAATGATTTGACTCATTTTTAGAGGATAATGAAGTCTTAGGCACACAGGTTGGTTTCTCAGTTGTGACAAATGTAGCAAGCGTTTAAAATGACAACATTAGGGGAAATTAGAACTGAGAGGAGAGTATATAATGCTTTTTGCAAGATTGATTCAACTTTGATTTAATTAAGGAAACAAAAATATTATATAGAAACTTGTACTTTACTCTCTCCCAAATTATTTGAGTTTTTCATTTTTCTTTATGAGAATATAAAATGTCCTACACTTTGTGTGAACCACTACACTCGACCAGTATTAACATTTTAATTTTAATTTTATTTGTTTTGAGTTGGAGTCTCATTCTGTCAGCCAGGCTGAGTGCAGTGGCACACTCACAGCCACTGCAGCCTCAACCTACTGGGCTCAGGTGATCCTTCCACCTCAGTCTTCCAAGTAGCTGGAGCCACAGGCATATGCCACCATGCCCACCTAATTTCTTGATTTATTGTAGAGATGAGGTCTCACCAAGTTTCTCAAGCTGGTCTCGAACCCCTGGACTCAGGCAATCCTCTTGCCTCGTCCTCCCAAAGTGCTGGGATTATAGGGTTGAACCATGACAACAACCCTGCATTTTTAAATAAAACTTTTGTATTACTCTTCTAAATGTGTGCTCAGTGCAATCTAAATACCATAATTGGTAGCACCACACATTTTAAAATAGGATCTGATGATTCAGCTAAGAATAGTAGGCTAGGGTGGGAGTTGGCATATTCTGGGGCTGAGGATTGAACTAACCCTTATTAATAGATTAAGTACATACATTTACATACATGAGAATTTAGCAAATACCTAAGCATATTGAGGTTGATGGGAGCCTCATTATCAGAGAACAAAGTAAAAACTTTTATAAAACAGAGAAGGCTAGAATAAATTCTTTGGCATGGATTAGAATTGGAGTTATTGCTTTTTGTTCCTTTTCGACACTCAAGATGTTGAAGTGAGGACATAGTGGATCCTCTGGTGCAAAATTCCAGATTCCTTGGGCTTCCGGTAGGTGCTGTGATCAACTGTGCTGATCACACAGGAGCCAAAAATCTGTATGTCATCTCCGTGAAGGCGATCAAAGGAGAGCTGAACAGACTTCCCGCTGCTGGTGTGGATGATATGGCGAGGCCACAGTCACGAAAGGCAAACCAGGCCTCAGAAAGAAGGTATGTCTAGCCGTGGTCATTAGACAATGAAAGTCATGTAGAAAAGATGGCGTGTTTCTTTATTTTGAAGATAATGCAGGGATCATAGTTAACAATAAAGGTAAGATGAAAGAGTCTGCCATTATAGGACCAGTTGCAAAGAAGTGTGCAGACTTGTAGCCCAGGATTGCATCCTATGCTGGCACTATTGCATGAGTCTTCGGTATATTTGTGAAATTAAGAAAAAAAACATTAAAAAGTATCTGCACTCCCCCCAAAAAGAAGTGGAGTTATTGGTGTTAACTCATGAGTTTTTGTTTTTTTTTTATCACCCACCCACAAGTTTTTAATATATATAGATAGATGTATAGAAACAGATTTAGATGTACAAACATCTATTGATGTACAGGAATTCCTTTTTGACATGAATCCATTTTTGTTTTTGCAGTACTTCCTTATTTTCTGGTATAACAAGAAATACCAAGCTCTTTTGGTCTTTCCCAGGTCCAAATGGGAATTGGCCATTTCTCCAACAAGCTTTGGCTCCTTTTTTTTTTTTTTTTTTGAGTTGGAGTCTCACTCTGTCGCCCAGACTGGAGTGCAGTGGCCACTTCCGGCCACCGCAGCCTTGACCTGTTGGGTTCCGGCGATCCTTCCGCCTCAGCCTTCCAAGTAGTTGGAACTACAGGTGCGTGCTACCACGCCAGGCTAATTTTTTTGATTTGTTGTAGAGATGAGGTCTCGTCAAGTTGCCCAGGAGGGTCTCGAACCCGTGGGCTCAGGCAATCCACTCACCTCAGCCTCCCAAAGTGCTGGGATTACAGGCTGAGCCACCGAGCCTGGCTGCTCTGGCTCCTTTTAATGGAGAATGATATTTAGTGATAAAGATCTGGGCAGCAGGTGCACTACCAGGGCATTCTTGCTTCCAGGTTCTCCTATTGGATGGAACTAGGTCATATATATGTGATGTATGTACACGTATATACGAAGATACACCCATTAGCCAAGACCAAAGTGCAAGCCATGAGCTTTTTCTCCCCTGTCCGAGTACCTTGTGCTTTCTCCACACAGTTACTACTTACAGCCTGCTGAACTCAAAGGGGCCTCAGAGATTTTATTTTTATGACTAAATGGCTTACATTTAAGTTCCTCTGTAATTTCTTACACTGGGCCAGACATTCGCTTGGCATTAATAAATACTAACTTAAAAGGCTGCATGACATAATTACATGACTTTGCTTATAGCCTCTTACAGCTTTCCAAGATCCTTTAATTCAAACCTGCAGGGTCTCAACCAGAAGATACCTCCAAAGACTTCTCTCAAAATGTCCCAGATGCCAGGAGCGAGTCTGCCCACATCTGGAGGCACATTAGAACCCAGGTAGCCCAAGTTAATGTGAGTTAAAAAGGAGGCAGGTTTCTCTGTCCTGCAGAAACTCTGATCACCCTCACCTTGTTTCCAACTACAGAAACAGTATGTGCTCAGGATGCACTGACTTGGTTCAGCCCAATCTAAAGAAATACTATTGCGGCTGATTTCCCTCTGCCAACATGGAGGAAGAAAACACATGTTAGACTCATGACCCTGTTCTGGGAAAAACCAGAACTGTTCCTTTAAAGGGTCTAGATATCAAGAAATAGAGCTGCTTTAAGTTCCTTCTTCCCATCCTGTTCCCTCCTTATCAAACTATAAGTGACCAGCTCATTTGACCCAATAACGACAAAGAATTACTTAGAATCTTAATATTTCACCTGTATATCTTCCAAATATCAGCTATCAGTCTTGCTACTCTTTGCATCCCTAGAACCTGGAATAGTGCTGTGCACAGAGGAGGAAACAATGACTACTTGTTAAAGTATTGCTTTGTAATTCTAGGGAACTTAACATTTTGTAATTTGCTTTAAAAACTGAGCATGCATATTCTCGAGTTTCTTTCTCCATTTTAACATTCGTGTGGTTTTTACTCCATTTTTACTGCTCCCTTGCTGCTGTCAGGAGGCCCCTATTTCACAAGCGCCTGGCATCCTTGCGTCACAACTGCCAGGCTGGAGCCTCGACCTCCCCATCCGCAGGGGTCTCAGGGTTAACCCCGGAATCTCCGCCTGTACACGTACCTTTATAGTACTAAGTACAGAAGGCAAAGAAAAACGGAATTACATGTATCCCCACCACCCAGAGATAACGACTATCGTTTATTAAGCCCTCATTCTTACTAAACTTCGTCTTAAAATGCGCGATCTCATTTCCTAAAGAGTTGTATTTCGCAGAATTTCTTTCCAGGCTTTTTCTAACCTGAAGCCAGATCTGCGCTCCATCTCGACATTCCGCGCCACTCGGGGCCGGAAGTGGCGCACCAGATAACCTGCAAGTCCTGGCAAACATTCGTCAGTTCGCAAATCTCCCGGTTTGGAATGAAACTGTCACTCGGGTGAAAATGAGTCAGTCTAAGGGGCGTTGAGAAACTCTCCGCCTGGCACTGGGCCCTCCCGTAGAGCCCGGGGTCACCCGCCGGCCTGGAGACCCTCCGGGTCCTCCGCACCAGCGCCGTCCGCACCCGCCCCGCGCCGAGTCCCTCCGGTCCTCCTCCGGAAAAATGACCCCCGCTGGCGGGGACTGCGGAGCCACGCTGGATGCGCTGGCCACGCCCCCTCAGGTGCCACGGACCAATAGGCGCCGAGACCGGCCTTACGTCACGCGGCACTGGCCAATTGCGGGGGGCCACGACCATAGAAAGGCTGGGCGCGGAGGGGCGGCCGCTGGGCGGCGGCGGCGGCTGCGGCGGCGGTGGTGGGCAGTCGCGCAAACGTTCTTGGCCATGGTGGTGGTGGCTGCCGCGCCGAGCCCGGCCGACGGGGCTCCCAAAGTATTGCTTCTGTCGGGTCAGCCCGCCGCCGCCGCCGGAGCCGCGCCCGGCCGGGCCCTGTCGCTCATGATGCCGGCCCAGAGAGGGGCCAGCCCGGAGGTGGCGAGCGGGGTGCCGCCCCAGGCGCGCAAGCGACAGCGCCTCACGCACCTGAGCCCCGAGGAAAAGGCGCTGAGGAGGTGGGCGAGGGGCCGGGGTCTGGGGCGAACCTGAAACAGGGACGTGGGCCTGGGAGCGGGGTCCCGGCGCTGACCGCCCCCCAGCGCTCGGGCGCCTTTGGCCTGGCGGGTCCGGTGCCAGCGTGGCGCTGGGCGGGGCGGGGCAGGAAGCCTGGGCTGACGGGATCCGCCGCGCGGGGTGAGACCCAGGGCTGCCCCGGTTTGTTTGTTTGTGTACTTTCCCCCTATCTCATGAGAGATGGCCGGAGCCAGGGATACGGCGCCTGGCTTCCAGGCCCTCTTGTTGTGTGACCGCAGGCCGATGGCTCAGCCTCTCTGAACTCGGGCTGTAGCAGAATCGGTTAGCTTCTTGGCTTACTACTTTTTCTGGAGGGCCGCGGAACTGAAATGACAGTTGTTGAAAGGCTCGGTCTCTGCGACCTTCAGATGGTACTAACTTCATGAGGTCGTTGGGGGGATTGAGACTTGCATGTAATAACAACACTTCGTCCTTCCTAAGAGCTCATTCTTTTGTGATCACTGTTTTGTAATTTATTAAATCCCTCCTCGAGCAGACACGGGCCCAGTCATCAGGGTATAGCCTGAGATATCAATACCAGGGAGAAGGGCATCAGCGTCTCCCTTTTCTAAATTGTGTTTGGGGAGGGAGGACTTATGCAGCCTTCCCTAGGCTGGATCCTGTTTAAGAGGGCAGGACTAGGAAGCAGCGGGGGAGGAGGAAAGTTTCTTATGATGCAAGATTAGTAGTGTGTCCACCTGTCTTGCTGACTCCCGGATGAGACTGTGGTGGATGATGCAATATAGAAGAGACTAAAGCAGGTCTTCGAGTTAGATAGAAGACTGTATTTTTTGTGTTATTTTATTGTATTTTACCATTAGCCTGCCTTGCACTGGTAAATTAAAATGAAAGCACCAGCTGGTCGGGTTTTCAAATATATAAACAAGGTTTGAGATGACTCAGTGTGGTATGTTCTTTCTCTTCTCAGGAAACTGAAAAACAGAGTAGCAGCTCAGACTGCCAGAGATCGAAAGAAAGCTCGAATGAGTGAGCTAGAACAGCAAGTTGTAGATTTGGAAGAAGAGGTAAACCTACTTAGGCCAAACTCTTTTATCCATCTTATTATAGCCTTTCCTTGGTGAATGTTCTGTTTGCTTCCCATCCTAAGTTGCTTCAGCTCCTGTTAGAACACAATTGAATATGCAATTAAAAATTAAGTTAGGGTAGATAGGTAGTTGGTGAAGTGGTGAAGCTTAAGAGCAGAGTGATTGACCCTCTGGCCTTTGGAGCTAGATGTATCTCAAAGTTGGTAAATTCAGCAATGTTAGTGAGTTTGTGCTAAGAAATTTCCAAAGGCTAGCTGGGCTTGGTGTCTCAGCCTGTAATCCCGTGCCTTTGGGAGGCTGAGGTGAGTGGATTGCTTGAGCCCGCAGGTTCGAGACCCGCCTGGGCAACTTGGCGAGACCTCATCTCTACACTAAATCAAAAATTAGCCGGGCGTGGTAGCGCGTGCCTATAGTTCCAGCTACTTGGAAGGCTGAGGTGGAAGGATCGCTGGAGCCCAGCAGGTTGAGGCTGCGGTGGCCGGGAATGTGCCACTGTACTCCAGCCTGGGTGACAGAGTGAGACTCCAGCTCAAAAAAAAAAAAAAAAAAAAGAAATTTCCAAAGGCAGATAGGAAATCATTGCTTAAACTTTACATTTTTCCGGGATCGGCCAAAAGTTCACTAACAGTTTCTTTCTCTTCTAGAGTCCACATGTTGTCTAATTTTATCTTATCAGTTGCACATCTTGAATACATAAGGATTATTATTATTATTATTATTTTTGAGTCAAAGTCTCACTGTGTCACTCAGGCTGGAGTGCAGTGGCACGCTTCCAGCCACCGCAGCCTCGACCTGCTGGGCTCAGGCGATCTTTCTGCCTCAGTCTTCCAAGTAGCTGGAACTACAGGCACACACCACCATACCCAGCTAATTTTTTGATTTATTGTAGAGATGAGGTCTCACCAAGTGCCCAGGCTGGTCTTGAATCCGTGGACTCTGGCCATCCTCTCACCTCGGTCTCCTGGGATTATAGGCATGAGCCACTGTGCCCAGACCTACATAAGGATTATCGATATTCCTTTTTTTCTTTTTTTTTTTTTTTTTTTTGAGTTGGAATCTCACTCCATTGTCCAGGTGGGAGTTCAGTGGCATACTCACGGCCATCCCACTGTCGACCTGCTGGGCTCAGGTGATCCTTCCGCCTCAGCCTTCCAAATAGCCCGAACTATAGGCATGCACTACCAAGTCCAGCTAAGTTTGTGGTTTATTTTAGAAATGAGGTGTCACCAAGTTGTCCAGGCCGGTCTCAAACCCATGGGCTCAGGCAATCCTCTCACCTTGGCCTCCCAAATTGCTGGAATTACAGGCTTGAGCCACTGCACCTGGCTAATAGTCCTTCTTTTTTTAACTCCTTGGTCAATTTTCATATATTGTTCTTTTTAATGTTTGAATCATTAACCGGTTCTTATTAAGAATCATGAGTCATTCAGGAGCAGAGTTTTTTTTGTAAGTGTATTTTGATTTTATAGTCACCACTACCACTTTATTACCTGCCAATTCAAGACAGGATTTTTTTTAAACATCATATCTAAATTAAAACCACAAATCACCCCTTGCTGAAGTCTATATTAGTAGCTGGAAGCATTGTGATATTCTTTTTTTTTTTTTTTGAAAGCAGGATTTATTGAGAGAACAGAAAAGCTCCCATAGTGGGAGGGGAAGCAAAGGGGTTGCCCGTGCTATTCTTGACCCTATGCGATGGCACTTATTAAATAACTTATTTTCTTTTTTTTTTTTTTTTTTGAGTTGGAGTCTCATTCTGTCGCCCAGACTGGAGTGCAGTGGCCACTCCCGGCCACTGCAGCCTTGACCTGCTTGGCTCCAGCGATCCTTCCACCTCACCTTCCAAGTAGCTGGAACGACAAGCGTGCGCTACCACCCCTGGCTAATTTTTTGAATTATTGTAGAGATGAGGTCTCGTCAAGTTGCCCAGGCGGGTCTCGAACCCGCGGGGTCGGGCAGCTCACTCACCTCAGCCTCCCAAAGCACGGATTGCAGGCTGAGCCACCGAGCCCGGCTTAAGTAATTTATTTTCAATCATTATTGCCTAGCCTTCTAATACCTACTGTGAACAACATAAACATAGAGTTTTCCAAAAGGAAATCAGTTGTAGTGAAACTTCATTAGGTGGTTTAAGTGAGATAGATATTTTGATAACCTCTTAGGATCTTTCTTCCAGAACCAAAAACTTTTGCTAGAAAATCAGCTTTTACGAGAGAAAACACATGGCCTTGTAGTTGAGAACCAGGAGTTAAGACAGCGCTTGGGGATGGATGCCCTGGTTACTGAAGAAGAGGCAGAGGCCAAGGTAAATCATCTCTTTTATTTGGTGCCTCATGTGAAAACTAGTTCCAAGTGACATGACCCAGTGATTTTTATGGTTACAGTCTGGACCTCTGATCAAAAGTGTTTTTGAAATGTTTTTTTAAGACATTTCCTTGCAGGCAGGGTGTTCTTTCATCAATGACACTTACTTTTTAAGTATGTAGTAAACTGTACTAAGTTCTAATAATTTAAATAAGTCACTGGGCTCTCTAAGAAAACAAGTACTAACAAATGCCAACAAGAGGTACCATGTAATCATTAAGGAGAACCAGAGTAAGAGAGCCAGTCAATTTAGACTTTAAATGCTACTGATATTAGAGCAGGGAAAGGATTCATTGTGATAATGATACCTCTCTGATAAGAAAGGAGTGATATATGGGTTTTAGTCTATGGATTATGGCAAATTCGATGACAACGCTTAAGTGGTCTAAGATTGACAATAGGACAGTTTTACTCTGTCAAAGTCATGTTCAGGAGGAACTTAAAAAATTACTGTTCAGAAAAGATTCTAGGCATAAATCACTATAGAACTTTATTATCTAAGAACATCACTATTGACAATATTAAGATATTATTTTTAGTTCTACCTGAATCTTTGCTTGGAGAGGAAAAACGTTTCATTGTGTAGAAACTCACAAAGAAAAGTTAGCCTCAGCTCTCTTTTCTTATCTCTTGAGGCAGACTTAAAGTGGAAATAATCATGGTAAGGGAAAGATTTCAACTCTAAATAGTTTTCTAGCTTTCTTGAAAGTTGAGAATCACAGCTGTCTGGCAGGTATTTCCTTAAGGACTTGCAGCTGTTTATTTGCTTTGGTCTTCCCTCCCAGGGGAATGGAGTGAGGCCAGTGGCCGGGTCTGCTGAGTCCGCAGCACTCAGACTACGTGCACCTCTGCAGCAGGTGCAGGCCCAGTTGTCACCCCTCCAGATCATCTCCCCATGGATTCTGATGGTGTTGACTCTTCAGACTCAGAGGTAGGGATCTTTCTTATAAAATAGCTATGTAACTACCTAATACCATCTGTTTGAAGCCTGACATCCCTAGCCAAACAGAAGAGGGCAAAAGTTAGTTTTGGTGGGGTTGGAGGTGAACATTGAACTACCTTCCTAGTCCCAGATGATTTAGGACATGGAGTGAGGTGTAGCTTAATGGGTCTGGTGGATCCTGAGGTCATCTTATAATGATTAATTTGCATTGTAGAACCCAATACTGTGTTCTAGGTAGATTCTCAAGTGTATTCTGACAGTTGTACTCCATTTAATTTTTGCCTCTTGCAGTCTGATATCCTGTTGGGCATTCTGGACAACTTGGACCCAGCCATGTTCTTCAAATGTCCTTCCTCAGAATCTACCAGCTTGGAGGAGCTCCCAGAGGTCAACCCACAAGGACCCAGTTCCTTATCAGCCTCCCTTTCTCTGTCAATGGGGACGTCATCAGCCAAGCTGGAAGCCATTAATGAACTAATTCGTTTTGACCACATCTATACCAAGCCCCTAGTCTTAGAGATACCCTCTGAGACAGAGAGCCAAACTAATGTGGTAGTGAAAATTGAGGAAGCACCTCTCAGCCCCTCAGAGAATGATCACCCTGAATTGATTGTCTCAGTGAAGGAAGAACCTGTAGAAGATGACTTCATTCCAGAGCTGGGTATCTCAGATCTACTTTCATCCAGCCACTGCCTGAAGCCATCTTCCTGCCTATTGGATGCCTACAGTGACTGTGGATATGAGGGATCCCCTTCCCCCTTCAGCAACATATCCTCTCCACTTGGTATGAACCATTCTTGGGATGATACTTTTGCCAATGAACTCTTTCCCCAGCTGATTAGTGTCTAAGGAGTGATCCAATATGTTGCTTTTTTCCTTGACTCTTATGCTGCCTGGAGAATAGCAGAGAAGCCTATCTGTGCTTCATTCAAAAAGCCAAAGTAGAGAGCATACATTCCTAGAGAATTCCTCTGAAGTGATTGTTCAAACCTCACAGATGACCCAAGTATTATCTTTTGACATCCAGCAGTCTAAGGTATTCAGTTGTATTACTGCTATTCAGAACTACAGCTTTTGAGATTTTACTTTCATCTTAAGGGCAGTAGTTTGCCCTCACATACTTAAGGCAAGGGCCATTAGACAAGTGTCATAAAGTAGACATGGAATTTATGAATGACCTTTTATAATTTCTCTTCCTCCTTCTTGGCATCCCAGGCTTGCCTCCAATTTTAGGTCCTTTAGTTTGCTTCTACAAACAGAGAGAATACCTACCTGAGGAGGGGAAACCTTTTTCCCTCATCAGTTCAAGTAAAGATCAAGAATCTTTTGTAAAATTATAAAAATTTACTATGTAAATGCTTGATGGAATATTTTCCTGCTAGTGTAGCTTCTGAAAGGTGCTTTCTCCATTTATTTAAAACTACCCATGCAATTAAAAAGTGCAATGCAGTGTCTCTGTTCTTTAATTTCTTCTAGGGCCATAAGTCTTATTTGCTTTCTAGATGTTTCACTGTTTGCTGTGGTAGTAATTTATCCAATTGAAGTCAGCATGCCACCTTTTAAAGTCAGTGAAGGCTTTTCCACCTTAAGTACTGCTTGCTTCAACTCCTGACTGCTGTTAAGTGATATAATCTACAATTTGATTATTGTCTTTTTTATTTTTTATTTTATTATTTTATTATTATTTTTTTGAGTTGGAGTCTCACTCTGTCACCCAGACTGGAGTGCAGTGGCCGCTCCCGACTACTGCAGCCTCGCCTGCCGGGTTCCGGCGATCCTTCCGCCTCAGCCTTCCAAGTAGCTGGAACTACAGGCGCGCACTACCACGCCTGGCTAATTTTTTGATTTATTGTAGAGATGAGTTCTCGCCAAGTTGCCCAGGCGGGTCTCGAACCCTCAGACTCAGGCAATCCACTCACCTCAGCCTCCCAAAGCGCTGGGACTACAGGCTGAGCTACCGAGCCCAGCCTATTTTTTATTTTTTTGAATCGGAGTCTTCCCCTGTCACCGACTGGAGTGCAGTGGCACACTCATAGCTACTGTAGCCTCGACCTGCAGGGCTCAGGCAATTTTTCCCCCTCAGCCTTTCAAGTAGCTGGAATTACAGGCACATGCCACCATGCCTGGTTAATTTTCCAAAATTTGTTGTAGATGGGCAATCCCTTCAGGTCCTCTCCCACTGTGGGGGCTTTTCTGTCCTCTCAATAAATCCTGCTTTCTGGAAAAAAAAAAAAAAACCAACTTGTTTGTCGATGTGAGGTCTTGCCAAGTTGCCCAGGCTGGTCTTGAACCCCTGGGTTCAGGCAATCCTCTCACCTCCACCTCCTAAAGTACTGGGACTACAGGTGTGAGCACCGTGCCTGGCCTGATTATTATCTTTCTGAGACAGTTCCTTCAGCCAAATTGACAAATATCACAACTAGCAAGTGGCAGAGCTAGAACCCTAACCACTGTTTGCCATTTGCCATACTATCTTGCGTTAAAGGACATGCTAAGCCGGGCACAGTGCCTCACGCCTGTAATCCTAGCACTTTGGGAGGCAGAGGCAAGAGGACTGCCTGAGTTCAGGGGTTCGAGACCAGTCTGAGCAACATAGTGAGACCTCATCTCTACAATAAATCAAAAAATTAGCCGGGTGTGGTGGCACATGCCTGTGGTTCCAGCTACTTGAAAGGCTGAGGCGGAAAGATCACCTGCAGGTCAAGGCTGCGGTGGCTATGAGCGTGCTACTGCACTCCAGACTGGGTGACAGCAAGACTTCAACTAAAAAAAAAAAAAAAGCGCCTGTGGTTCTGGCTACTTGGAAGACTGAGGTGGAAGGATCGCTGGAGCCCAGTAGGTTGTTGAGGCTGTGGTGGCTGGGAGCATGCCACTGCACTCCAGTCTGGGTGACAGTGAGACCCCAGCTCAAAAAAAAAAAAAAAAGACGTGACATCAAATAGCAAAATTCTCTTACCATTACCATGGGGATTAAGAGCATTTTCTAGACTTAAACTCCATAGTTTCAACTCTTGCCACTGGTGAACTGGGTAACTCTGGGGATATATCCTCATCTGTAAAGGAGGATAATAGTATCTCAAAAGGTTGTTGGAAGAATTCAAAGAGGTGATACATTATAAGCACTTAGTATATGCCAGGCACTATCCTTAACACAAGCTAGCTGTTATCTCCTAATCCACTTTGGAAGGGTTTTAATCCCTTCCAGAATTATTTATTCAATAATTTGTTTCACCAAAGAATAAAACTGTCAAGAAAAAAATCCTAGAGACACTAATACAGCCCCCAAACTAAAGAGGTTTGACAACCTCCTCATCCTTCATAGTGCATCTTTTCCTTGGGAATCTTACAAGATGTTACAGGACTTCTCTCATTTATAAAAACTATCTCACTTATGCCAGCATGCCAGTTGAGCATTTAATTGATATATTCCCTATTTATTGAGACTACCTCTGGGGAGGTGAAAGTGAATGAATAGACAAAAGGAGGCAGGATTCAGAGAATCCCAAGCAGCAAGGCAAAGCAGGCTGTAGTTTCAGGCAAGTATAAGGGAATGTGACTGGAAGCATGTTCACAAAACATACTTGAGTGCAAGTCTGTTGTCTTCAGATCTGGTCGCTGAAGCCAGAGCCCAATTAGGTCCAAGTTTCTGTACTGTAAATAAAAGAATAGCCTCCAGCTGTCCCCATGATTGAAAACTATCTCACCTAATTTTTTAGAACTCTGAAAACCTTAGGGTCAAGTACCCACTTAGGGGCTATGTAGACAGATGCAATTACAGGTGTATTTTAGCCTCTACCACAATAGCAGCAGCACCTGGCAGTTGAGGCTCAACTGATTTACAGTCAATGACATCACACGAAAGAGGCAGCTGTACTAACAGGACAGAACATATATAACCCATGTATATTATTATGGTTTTCATTTCCTGCACAGATGGATGGAAATTACTAAACTCTGTGCTCAGCCTTAAGAAAACACCTGATAATCAAGGACATTTTCATACTGAAACATCAAATTGAATGGTTGGAACTAAAAATAACAATCTTTCTGCAAAAACCAAAGAAAGATTTCCATTAAATGCATAGGGTTGTCTCAATTGAGATTAAAGATGCAGGTGACAAGATTCCTACACTATTTCCTTGAGTCTTGAAATACCAATCCACATTTGCCTCCTTGCTTTTCTACTAGATATGCTATTGGTGCCAGGTGTCGTGGCTCATGCCTGTAATCCCAACACTTTGAGAGGTGGAGGCGAGAGGACTGACAGAGCCCATGGGTTCCAGACCAGCCTGGGCAATTTGGTGAGACCTCACCTCTATGATATTTTTTTTTTTTGAGTTGGAGTCTCACTCTGTTGCCCAGACTGGAGTGCAGTGGCCGCTCCCGGCCACCACAGCCTCAACCTGCTGGGCTCCGGCGATCCTTCCGCCTCAAATTTTTAAAAAGCTGGGCATGGTGGTACACGCCTGTGGTTCCAGCTACTTGGAAGGCTGAGGCGGAAGGATTGCCGGAGTCCAGCCGGTTGAGATTGTGGTGGCCGTGAACGTGCCACTGCACTACAGCCTGAGCAACGAAGTGAGACTGACTCAAAAAAAGAAAAATGCTACTAGAGCAGAGACAAAGAAGGACTGTAGGCAGAAGGTAATACTGCCTCTTCCAGGCATATTTCAAGGTATCAGTTATATTCTATCCTAAGCATTACCACTCTTGTAATTTCTGAAGTTCTTTTATATTTATTTTTGGAAAAGCAGGATTTATTGAGAGGACAGAAAAGCTCCCACAGTGGGAGGGGACCAAAAGCAGATGCCCTGAAGTTCTTTTGTGGTTTTTTTTGTTTTTGAGTTGGAGTCTCACTCTGTTGCCAGGACTGGAATGCAGTGGCCGCTCCCGGCCACCGCAGCCTCGACCTGCTGGGCTCCAAGGATCCTTCTGCCTCAGCCTTCCAAGTAGCTGGAACTACAGGCACGCACTACCACGTCCGGCTAATTTTTGATTTATGGTAGAGATGAGGTCTCATAAAGTTGCCCAGGCAGGTCTCGAACCCGCGGGCTCAGGCAATCCACTCACCTCGGCCTCCCAAAGTGCTGGGATTACAGGCTGAGCCACTGAGCCCGGTCTGAAGTTCTTTTAAAGAGGCCAGGTATAGTGGTTCACATCTGTAACCCCAGAACTGTGGGAGGCCAAGATAGGAGGATCGCTTGAAGCCAGGAGTTTGAGACCACTCTGAGCAAAAAAGCAAAAGAGTAATTATTTAGGCTTTAGTTTCCAAATCTGTAAAATAAATAAATTAGGTAACTTTTAGTCAAGATTTCCAAATTTTGGTTAAAAACAAAAACACTATCCAGGCAGGGTGTGGTGGTTCATGCCTATAATCCCAGCACTTTGGGAGGCTGAGAAGAGAGGATTGCCTGAGCCCGCGGGTTCAAGACCAGCCTGGGCAACTTGGTAAGCACTCAGCTCTACAATTAAAAAAAAAAAATTATCTGGGCATGGTGGTGCATGCTGGTAGTGCCAGCTACTTGGAAGGCTGAGGCAGAAGGACTGCCTGAGTCCAGCCGGTCAAGGCTGCAGGACTCCAACTCAAGCAAATAGATAAATAAATAGGTAAATAAATAAATAAATACAAAGTCCAACTGCAACCCTAACTTAACTCCCCCTGCCCAACAAATCAAGAATGCACATGTATCAAATGGTTGTAAATATGTAGACAATATTGCCACCCAGTGACCTGTCAACTCTTAAAAAAGGAAGAAAAACCATGTAGCTGAACATCACTGAATTTTCTATTCCTTATTTTCAGAGGTCCCAAACCACTCTCTGTGAACTCTATATGCTATTTCCAACTCCACATTTGCTTTTTTTTTTTGAGTTGGAGTCTCTCACTCGGTCGCCCAGACTGGAGTGCAGTGGCCGCTCCCGGCACCGCAGCCTCGACTGCTGGGCTCCAGCGATCCTTCCACCTCAGCCTTCCGAGTAGCCGGAATTACATGCATGTGCTACCACGCCCGGCTGATTTATTGTAGAGATGAGGTCTCGCTGCCCAGGCGGGTCTCGAACCCTTGGGCTCAGGCAATCTACTCACCTCAGCCTACCAAAGGCGCGGGATTACAGGCTGAGCCACCAAGCCCGGCTCATTTTTTTTTTTTTTTTTTTAAGGCTAAGAAAGAAAATTTTATTTAAAAGTTAGAGAGAGAAAGAGAAGGAAGAAAGAAGATTCACCTCCCCAAGGTGGGGGAGGGGGATCAAAGCCAGGAAGCATGGCAACAGTCATGGCTCAAAGAGCGCACAGCTACACCAGACTCTAGAGCAAGGCAATGGCTGCATTTCTTTTTTTTTAAAGGGACAGTCTCCATGTTTTGGGAGGCTGGAGCACAGGGGCATGATCATAGCTCTCTATAACCTCAACTCCTGGCCTCAATCTTCCTGCCTCAGTCTCCCAAAGCACTGGGATTAAGGACATGAACCACTGTGCCTGGCCCACATTTGAACATTTTAAATACGCAGCTACCACTGCCATCTGAATTCTGACAATTAACAGCAGCATATTCCTCTTGGTATAAAGCGTTCTATGGGTTTTAGAATGGCAAAAACCAGCCTGCCTATTGGAAATAGCTAATTCAAATATGAAACTTATCTTTGACCCAACATAATCGTCCCTTCAGGATACAATTAAGTCATTTGCTGATATGAATGTTGCTCTAACTACAATTTAGAGAAAAGCAAGGAGATATCTGATTTTATTTATTTAAGTGCAGGAATATGAGTTATCTCAAAAAGTCCAAAACACTTAAGAAGTTTTATTGAAAATGGTAACATACAGAAACACCAAATTATTTTAGAGAAAAATTAACAACATCTTCCAGAACTTTCCTAGTACCGAACCATTCTTGTAACTATTAAAAAACAAAGCCTAGTTCTAGATCCAAAATAATAAATGAACCTGCTGGTAAACATTCTTTTCAGGGTTTTAGTCCCGACCTTAGTTATTTTTCTAAATTTTACATTTGTACCTTTTCAAGACTGAGTAGCAGGTTTTCTTATAAAGTGATTAATATCTGTGAGAAATAGACTTACTTCATATTACAAAAAAAGACTAAAAACAACCCTCAAACACAAAAACCACACACATCCTACTCAAACTCAGATAAAATATACATTTGTTCATTAAAGCTCACCTGCTTTATATAATTTTTTTCACACATTAGCATAATAGCCAATGTTTGATCCATGCTGCAAAAACCATACAAAATGAAAAGCCCTGTTAATTCCCTAGGGAAACCTTAAGGCAAAAGCAAAAGCCTTATGCTACAAAAGAAAAACAAAAAGCAGAGGCATCGGGACTGTGGAGATGGCTCAGATGAATAAGCACCAACAAGGATGAAAAAAACAACTTTTGTACAAATATATGCAAGAAGTCCAAAAAGAAACACTGAACATACACTTCCCTGCAAAAATAATTATGTCAAATAACTTCACTCCTGAAACAAGCTGTTTGGATTTTAATTAACAAAATCTTAATTCTCACCTATATTTACCAATAGTATCAGAGCCTCATTTTGGCACTCTTTGTTCTTCCATCAATATAGACCTTTAAGCAGAGGCCTGCCCAGCAATTAGCCATAGAACACAAACATGGCCAATTGTAGTATGCTTTGAGTCCTTCTTTGGAAAGCTGTCATCTCTCTTTCCATCCTAACACGAAAAGTAACTCCAAAATCCAGGCAGTCACTTCAAGTTTTTGAGTTGTACTGGAATAAACTCTTTAGCATGGAGATTTCTTTAAGTTGGTCCCATTAAACAATGACTTAAAGCGGTAGTTTTTCAAATGGCATGAATCAAACACACTTGCACATTTCAACAAAATACAGTTTACATTCATCTCTAAATCTGAGATTAAGAAACTATTAGCTGGTTTCCAACTGGTTTCAATAATGGTTTGAAGTTTGAATAATTTTACTGCGTAGATATTAAATATTTGTTTAAATATTAAACATTAAATCTTTTCCTGACTATACAGACAGAAATAGAGAAAGCAGGTACAACAGGCAAAAGAAGAAACAGTCCAATTAACAACTTGTGACTTCTATGCCATCTGTAACAAGGGGAGGGATTTCAGTATGGGTTTCAAAAATGCCTGGAGGCTGGTGTCTAAAAATTCACCTCTACTTAGCATAAACCATTTTTTTCCTACAAAAGGTTATCTACTCCCTCCAAAGGAGAAAGGAACCCAGAAAATAAAACAAAAAGAACTGGGATGGTCTCCTGTTGTGTGATGGAAGGGCCAGTATTATACTATTATACTCATTTAATAACTTACACTGGATATTCCATAGCAATAAAGGAAGTGTCGTTTTACTTTTCCACACAGAAGTCCTTGCCACACAGAAGAACTCTGAGAAACTAAAAATTTCAATTCTGGTATCCCCAAAGGACAACTTGAGCCCGATTTAAGTACTCTAGATGATTTCCTGTTAGCAGGAAGCTATTCTCCACTAACTTCTAGGCAGACTGCACAATAGTTCAAATTGGCTATTTCAGTAAACTTCAGTGTCACTTGCCCATATATTTTAAGCTAATTATTTACTGTTTTCTAAATTAGCATTTAAAAAATGCAACTTGCTCATACAACCTTTTTTTCCTAAAATACAGAAGTTTTCAATGCTGAGTTTTGCTGACAAAGCACTTCCTCAGGATTACCTAAAGATGCTTCCCCCATAGGCAATTTGCAGATGAGTTACCTCATAATCTTTTAAACTATCAAAGTTAATTAAGTTGTAAACATTACTGAATGACTGCAAGGGAAACCAAGGAGCAAAAGTGCCACAAGGCAAAAAAACCTTGAAGGAGAAAAATTTTCTTTGTATTTTCAATACATTTTCAGAGGCAGAGCGCCACAATGCTACTGGCTACTTAATCAACACAGCTATAATAAACTGACAACTAATTTACAAGTTTCAGGGCCTCTGTTAAACTTCTGAGCAATAGACTTAAGTGACTGCTTTCTTCTTTCCTCTTCCCCAGTTATAATCTCACCACTGTAAACAGCTCGTATCTACAGATTAAGCTGTGACGTAACTGTCAGGGTACAGCTGTAGTAAGAGAATCCTTCCTTCTTAATCATCTTTTCAACACAAGGAGAAAATTCTCCAAGTGTCTGAACAGTTTAGACAACATGACAAGATGACTCAAGTCACCCTTCCACAGTTTCTATACTTGCCTTTGAAGAGACTCTAATGCAACATTTCTTTAATAACCCCCATGGAAAACTACCCTTCTCTTGAGACAAACTTCCTTGGCAAAAAGTTGAATAAATGGCTACCCAAAATGAGAGTCCCACCCCAAATCACAGGTGGTGATATTATTACACCCGTTTCATAAAACTTTCCAGTCCCTATAACTACGCAAGTAGGCTCATGACAACACAGGAGTCTTCTAAAATTTGACAACTTTAGTGTAGAAACTGGTTTCTAGAGTTCCATCTCTTCTTCTGTGCTAGCAGCAGTCTCCAAACTATTGTAAAGAGACATCCCTGTTTGCCGAGGTTCCAAGAACAATTCAGTTCTCTGAGGGAAGGCAGTGCCAGCAGCTGCATGCTTAGTTTGGCTCTCTCCTGCGTAGTTCTTAGCATCAGATGATGGCTTTGGCTTATCAGAAAGGAGTTCAGGGAGAGGTTTCCAGAGCACAAGCTCCATGGAAGGACGGCTCCTAAAACATAAAATACAGATTTTTATAAAAACTGGGTATAAAATGTGTATTAAAAATTAGGACATGAAAATAAAAGCTATATGGTAGAAAGCTAACATCTGCTACCTGTACCTTACAGTTAATAACTGATAGTACCAAAACAGGAGATTTAGAACAATCTAAGTTGATCTTCAGAAAGATCACTAAATACAGTCAGGCTCGGTGGCTCAGCCTGTAATCCCGTGCCTTTGGGAGGCTGAGGTGAGTGGATTGCCTGAGCCCGCGGGTTCGTGACCTGCCTGGGCAGCAAGACCTCATCTCTACAATAAATCAAAAAATCAGCCGGGCGTGGTAGCGCATGTCTGTAATTCGGCTACTTGGAAGGATGAGGGGGAAGGATCGTCGGAGCCCAGCAGGTCGAGGCTGTGGTGGCTGGGAGCGGCCGCTGCACTCCAGTCTGGGCGACAGAGTGAGACTCCAACTCAAAAAAAAAAAAAAGAAAGATCACTAAATACATAAAATTGCACAGTTTGGCATGCATGCTGTAATTACAATTTAAACATCATTAGCTGGGCGTGGTGGTGAGCCTGTAGTCCCAGCTACTAAGAAGGCTGAAGCAGAAGGATCACTTGAGCCCAGGAGCTTAAGGCTGCAGTGAGCCGCAAGCATGCCAATGCATCCCACCCCCAACTCAAAAAAAAAAAAAAAAATTTAAATACTTTTTTCGAGTTGGAGTCTCACTCTGTCGCCCAGCCCGGTGTGCAGTGGCCACTCCCGGCCACCAGTCTAGACCTGCTGGGCTCTGGTGATCCTTCCACTTCAGCCTTCCAAGTAGCTGGAACTACAGGCACGCGCTATCACGCCTGGCTAGTTTTTGATTTATTGTAGAGATGAGGTCTCTCCAAGTTGCCCAGGTGGGTCTTGAACCCACGGGCTCAGGCAATCCACTCACCTCAGCCACCCAAGGTGCAGGATTACAGCCTGAGCCACAATGAAGAACATCCCCTATGGCTAGCTTCTAGAAAACTACTAAGACCATAAAGTGTGTGTGTGTGTGTGTGTGTGTGTACACGCGTGTATGTGCGTACACGCAGCAGTTATTTTGCCTTAACTGCAAAGCATTATACTTTATAGCTATACTAAACAAGAAGGCATCTGAGATACTTTTCAATGTTTGTCCAGTGATTTATTTATTTATTTATTTTTTTAAGTTGGAGTCTCACTCTGTCGCTCAGACTGGAGTGCAGTGGCTGCTCCCGGCCACCGCAGCCTCAACCTGCTGGGCTCCGGCGATCCTTCCACCTCAGCCTTCCAAGTAGCTGGAACTACAGGTGTGCGCTACCACGCCCAGCTAATTTTTTTTGATTTATTGTAGCGATGAGTTCTCGCCAAGTTGCCCAGGTGGGTCTCGAACCCGTGGGCTCAGGCAATCCACTCACCTCAGCCTCCCAAAGGCACGGGATTGCAGGTTGAGCCACCGAGCCCGGCTGGGACGGATGTCTTAAAAAGGCTTTTTCAGATATCTGAAACTTACCCTCACTGAGTACCAAGTCTATACGATTATTTTCTAGATAATACCTAAATAAATAATAACTTGCTATTTTATATAGTATATAATGAGTTCATGTAGGCTCACAAATTACAGGACTACTCATTATTCTTAAATTTAATGGGTCCCAAGCCACTTTGCTTTTTAGGTTCTTGTGTCTGCTTTCTAGTTTCCTCTCTTGTAGTCATGACACCTCTTTAGAAGTTTTGTTTGTTCTGCTCTGACTTAATGTTTCTGTTTCTACTCTGATGATCTAGGAAACCAAATAACTGAACTCTAAACTACATTTAAATTAGGAAAAAAACAAGCTATGCTCAAGGCCCTGAGAGACTATGCTATGAGCCAAGAATATTAACTTTGATTTGTGGCCTTTGTGATAACTACTTTGCTGAGACACTTTATTTTTATTTTATTTTTTTGAGTTGGGGTCTCACTCTGTCATCCAGGCTGGAGTACAGTGGCACAATCGCAGTTCACCACAGCCTTGATCTCTTGAGCTAAGGCAATCCTGCCTCCGCTTCCCGAGTGGCTAGGAAGAACTACAGGCACAAGCCACCATGGCCACCTAACTTTTTGTAGAGATGAGGTCTCATATTGCCTAGAGGGGTCTTGAGTTTAGCCTCCCAAAGTGCTGGGATTACAGGCATGAGTCACCAACCCTGGCCTTATTTTTAAACCTTTTTTGTTTTGTAGAGACGAGGGTCTCACTATGTTGCCAAGGGTGGTCTTGAACTCCTGGCCTCAAGAGATCCTCTCATCTCATCCTCTCAAAGTGCTGGGATTACAAGCATAAACCACTGTGCCTAGCCCTTGGGACACTTTATTTTTAAACAAGACACTTCAAAATGTGGTTCCTATATTCCATCACAAAATTTGAGAATGGGCTCTTTCTTATCAATCCATTCCCAAATTCTACACTGGAGTCCATTTCAGGAGTTCAAAAGAAGCAAGGGGTAAAGTAGCCAAGGCAGCCACTTCTGCATACTTCAAACTCTTGCTTATCCCTGATGAACTAATAAAAAGGTTGTTTGGCCGGGCTCGGTGGCTCAGCCTGGAATCCTGCGCCTTTGGGAGGCTGAGGTGAGTGAATTGCCTGAGCCCGCGGGTTCGAGACCCACCTGGGCAGCGAGACCTCATCTCTACAATATATCAAAAAAAAAAAAAATCAGCCAGGCGTGGTAGCGCGCGCCTGTAGTTCCAGCTACTTGGAAGGCTGAGGCAGAAGGATCGCCGGAGCCCAGCAGGTCAAGGCTGCGGTGGCTGGGAGCGGCCACTGCACTCCAGTCTGGGTGACAGAGTGAGACGCCAACCCCCCCCCCAAAAAAAAGGCTGTCTCCATCCTGGACTAAATACAAATTTTACTATGCTTTTACTTGTCTAGTGACCAGGGAATAAAGAGCTGACTAGGAGAGGATGAACAGTGTCTAGACACTGAGTGTTCCCTCCAAGATCATAAATATGTAGAAATCAGGTACCAGCAGGGTGTGGTGGCTCAAGTCTGTAATCCCAACACTTTGGGAGGCCGAGGCAAGAGGATTGTGTAAGTTCAGGGGTCTGACACCAGCCTGGGCAACTTGGCAAGACCTCGTCTTTACAATAAATCACAAAAACTAACTGGGCATAGTGGTGTGCGTCTGTAGGTCCAGCTACTTGGAAGGCTGAGGCAGAAGGATTGCCTGAGCCCAGCAGGTTGAGGCTGCAGTGGCACTGAGCATGCTACTGCACTCCAGCCTGGGCAACAGAGTGAGACTCCAACTTAAAAAGAAAAAAAAAAAGAAAAAGAAATCAGGTACCAAAACTCAAAACTCACATGGACTCAATCATTTTCTTTGTAAAGACTTCATCAAATTCTCTCTTCAAACTTGTTTTCACAGGATCAGAAAGGACAAGACTAGGGAGATGATGAACATCTCTGTCAGCTTCAACGTCTTCATCTTCATCAATTATCCTAAATAAATTAAGCAGAAACAGAGAGAAAAAAATCTTTTATCAAATTATTATATATTCTTCTAATAATTGGACAAGATTTTAAAAATAAAAAAAGATAAAAGCAACATGTGTTACAGCAAAAGACCAAGTAAAAAAACGGAGGCTATGCCTAGGTGAAAAAAGTATATACAGAGGGTTGCTCATTTCATTTGACAAAAAAGTTTTATAAATGATGCAATTAAATTTGAAGAATGTGTCCCAGAAAACTATCTCATAAATCAAAAATTAATATTCAGAATTAGTAAAGGAAAATGCTTAGTACAGTTCTATGAGAAAAACACATTTTATAAGCATATATTTCATTTTCCTGACTTTTATAACATCTCTGAGAGGGTGAGGAACAAGGTATCACCAGATGATGAATAAGACTAGCTTAAAAGAGTACACATTTTTTTTTTTTTGAGTTGGAGTCTCACTCTGTCGCCCAGACTGGAGTACAGTGGTCGCTTCCGGCCACCGCTGCCTCAACCTGCTGGACTCTGGCGATCCTTCTGCCTCAGCCTTCCGAGTAGCCAGAATTACAGGCATGCGCTACCAAGCCTGGCTGATTTTTTGATTTATTGTAGAGACGAGGTCTGGCCAAGTTGCCCGGGAGGGTCTCGAACCCGCGGGCTCAGGCAATTCACTCACCTCAGCCTCCCAAGGCGTGGGATTACAGGCTGAGCCACCAAGCCCGGCTAAGAGTAGACATTTTAAGGAACAGAACAAGCCAGCTATATACAGCCCATTCACCTGTCCTCAATCTCCTGAAGCCTCCTTCGGGCAAGTTCACACTGTGGTTCTCCAGTTGTCTGATCCATTTCTTCACAAATAACATCTAACATGCTAGGTACAGAAAGGCTACTAGTACAGGGATTTACTCCGTGACCTTCTACATCCTGATGTGCACAAAGAATCCAGTCATTAGGACCAGCACAGAGTTCTGCTTCAGCTAGCCTTTTCTTTCTTACTGGACAACTGAAAAAAGAAAAAGAAATTTCAATTAAAAACCCCCAACTAATATAAATGAAATTATCACACCTATCTCTAAGCAAATTTTTTATATGAAAAAACTTTTTTGACAGTGTCATTACAAGATAAAAAATTACGCATATTTTTCTTATTTTCAGTCTCACTGATATTGTCTTTTACTGCTCTTTGCCAAATCAGGCTGTACCTGCAAGATTTTGACATTTTAGATTATAAGTGTTCAGTGTGGGACCTTAAAGTTATTTATACTTATTTGACTCTAGAAGGGCCAAGTGGGAAGTAAAGAAACCAAAAATCACAAAGGAGCAATTCAGCGTCAGCCATATTTTGCCATACTGCTGCTGCTCCATCAAACTTAGAAACTTTAGAATTTCCTTCTAAAGGAAATCCAATTTCCTTCTTTTGCAGATTTGGAAACCTAACCCTTCCAGAGTGTCACAGTAAGGTAGTGAGTTACATGTTGGGACCAGACCCCAGAGCTCCTGATCCTACCTCCATGTCTTTTTTACTAAATTCTTCTGCCTCCTTAGGGGATTTCAATTGTTCAAGCTCTTACCATAAACTAGTATTTCAAGCACTATGACATGCCCAGCGTTTAGTTAAAGCTGTCTGAAGCAAGTTTAATAGACAATTGGCCTTGTTTTAGTACTTTAAAGTACTTTATTGCCTGAGCATTACCAAGTACAGTCTGAAGATCAGAACATAGCTCTATAGCAAAAAAAATTCATTAAAGGCTACCACAGTCTCTAATTCCCTAAAATAAGGGTCAAAGGAAGCAGCATGTATTTTATAAGGAGAAATTCTTATTCCATGTTAAGACTGTAAGTCAATAGTAAAGCCTCTAGCAATATAAAAACAGACAAGTAATAAGGTTCTCTCAAACCCAGATTTTTAAAATCAACTGTTAAGTCAACTAGCTATACATCAAATATTTCTATACTATTTTAATAGTTTTAAAGCATGTGATGTGTTGGAAAGCAGAAAATAAAGTTATACATATTAAAAAACAGCTTTAAAAAAGCAGAATAGGCCAGGCTTGGTGGCTCAGCCTGTAATCCCAGCACTTTATGAGGCTGAGGCGAACAAATTGCCTGAGCCCGCCAGTTCCAGACCTGCCCAGGCAACTTAGCGAGACCTCGCCTCTACAATAAAATCAAAAATTAGCCGGGCGTGGTAGCACGCGCCTGTAGTTCTGGCTACTTGGAAGGCTGAGGCGGAAAGATGGCCTGTGTTATAGTTCTCACAGTAATCTCAAGGCAGTAAGCAATATAAATATTCTCTGCTCCAGTGGTTTTCAAACTAAGGTAACATTCAAATCTACTGTTTTAGTAATCTATGTATCAATATATTTAGAAAATCCAAAGTTCTGGAAGGCTGAGGTGGAAGAATCACCTGGGCCTGGCAGGGCAACACTGGGGTGGCCGTGAGCGTGTCACTGTACTACAGCCTGGGCAGTGGAGTGAGACTCTAGCCCCCCCCCCCACCAAAAAAAGAGTTCCTGGTGGGGTGTGGTGGCTCATGCCTATAATCTCAGCACTTTGAGAGGCTAAGGCAGGAAGGAAGGAGAATTGCTTGAGCCCAGGAGTTTGAGACCACCCTGGGTAACATAGCAAGGCTTTGTCTCTACAAAAAAAAAATCTGAAAAATAAGCTGGGTATGTGTGGTGGCATATGCCTGTAGTTCCAGTTACTCAAGAGGCTGAGGTGAAAGGATTGACTGAGCCCAGGAGGTTGACTAGTAAGCTGTTATCATCTGACAAAAAAGTTTTATATATGATACAGAGTGAGATCCTGACCAAAAAAAAAAGAACCTGGAACGGTGGCTCACACCTGTCTTTGGGAAGTAGAAATGAGAGGATTGCCGGAGTCCAGGTGTTCAAGACCAGTCTGGGCAACATGGTGAGACTTCGTCTGTACAATAAATCCAAAAAATTAGCCGGGTGTGGTGGCGTGTGCCTGTAGTTCTAGATACTTGGAAGGCTGAGGCGGAAGGATCACCTAAGTCCAGCAGGTCAAGACTACGGGTGGCTGTGAGCATGCCACTGCACTCCAGCCTGGGCGACAGAGACTCCAACTCAAAAAAAAAAAAAGTACCTGCTATTTCATATGCACTCCAATATCTGGGAGTAGAGCAGTATTTCACTGTGGCTCTAACATGCATTTCCCTAAAGACTGATGCAGTTGAACACTTTTTCATTTGCTTGGCCATTTGGCTGTCTTCTTTGAGGAATCTTGTTACTCCATTTTCTATTAGACTGCCTCTAAGAGATGTGCTTTTCTACCTTTCAGTTTAACAGCAATCCAAATGTTTGAAAATACAGTTGTAGGCAGAACATGAAGAAACAGGCATTCCCACTGTTAGGAGTACAAATTGGCAAAAACACTTGTTTATGGACAACCTTCTCGGGTCCCCTCCCACTCTGGAAGCTTTTCTGTTCTCTCAATAAATTCTGCTTTGTCAACTTAAAAAACAACAACAAAAAACACCGCTTGTTCATAATTTAAAATACACTTTAAGACCTAGTCAGTTATCCAGTCTGGGCAACTTGGCGAGTGCTTGCTTCTACAACAAGTGAAAAAAAATTAGCCGGGAGGGGTGGCACCTGCCTGTAGTTCCAGCTACCTGGAGGCAGAGGCAGAAAGATCATCCAGGCCCAGCAGGTTGAGGCTCTGGAAGCTGAGAGTGTGCCACTGCCCTGCAGTCTGGGTTTCAGTGAGACTCTGACTTAAAAAAGAAAAAGGAAAAAAAAAAAAAAGACCAAGCAATCTGCATCAAGGAATCCATTTATCTACTTGCAAATATGTAAAAAGAATTTCTAAAAAATGACCATAGTATAGTTGTAACAGCAAAATATTTGAAACAACTTAGAAATCCATCAATAGAAGACTGGTTAATTACCTAGATCTAGTGTCACATTAGAATTCCATTCTTGAAAAGGAAAATAGCTAGAACTCTATATGCTTATATGGAGCTACTGGAGAGAAGTACACAACCATCAATGTGTTGCACAGTGTGAACAGTATCTTCCTACAAATGCAAAAAACCAGAAGCATATACGCTACAATTGTAAACTTGTAATTTTTTAGATTATATTCCAAAGGTGACATGAGAAACAGGTAACAGGGGTTGCCTCTTTGGAGCAGAATGCGGAGTACAGACCATAAGACTTTTCATTATGTATCTTCTGAATTCTTTCACGTTGTGCAAGTAATTCACACGGTTCAAAACTCAAACGTTACAACTTGTTAAACAGTGAAAAGTTTCCCTCTGACCTGTCTGCTCGCCAGCCACTTACTGTCCCTAAAAGGCAACCGACGTTACTAGTTTCTTGTGCCTCCTGCCAGGGACATACCTAATGTTTTACCTTTTCACCTAAAACAAGTAGTTTAGAACACAGCATATGTTAACAGTGACCATGAAGAACACGCGGGCCCCTGAAACTTACTCATCCTCCTCCTCCTCTCGCTTGTGTTTCTTTTTACAGTGAGCGGAAACACTGTTGAAACAAACAAAAATCAGTCAACTGAGAAATCTATTTGAGCTTTCTTGCTCCGATATCCTCGCTCACCCTCACATACCAAATGTCCCTTTCCTTGCCGAGCGGGACGGATTCAGGCCACAAGGTCAGTTAGGTAATGTTGGTGGTCCCGGCATAGCCAGACACTGAAATCTAAACTTCGCCATTTGTCAAGGGAATGGGAGGCAGACTTGGGAGCACCCAGGCAAGGAAAACTAGTCGGGGCAGGCAGGCGCGGCGCGAAGCACTTTATTTCCACAATCTCACGGGCGGACCCGTTTCTGCCGCCTGCGCTGCGGGTGAGGAAACTGTCCGAGACGCACTGAAAGTTGTCACCAAGAGCGAGGCGTGTACGCGCCGAGGGGACGCCCGGGCTACGGTCGCCCGGGTTCCAGTAAGAAAGTCTCGCTTCTCGGGGCGCAGCCGGGTTGAGGTTCGAACCGCACTGTGCGACTTCAGGCGACTTACGGTTAACGTCTCTGGGGATCAGTTTCCTCCTCTGGAAACCGGGTTGAGACGCCCCCCGCGGAGGGTCGCGGGGAGGATTAACGAGCCCGAGCGCGAAGCCCGCGCGCGCCGCGAGAGGCGCCCAGCCTGCCCGCCCGCCCTGCGCCCGCCGGGCTCTCACCGTCCACGCGCCGCGCTCCCCCCGGGGCTGCTGGGGAGTGGGCGGGGTACCGGCCGCGAGGCCGGCTCGGCGCCGTCCGCCTCGGGCGGGAAGGCCCGGCCGGAGAAGGCCGGCGGCGGGTGCAAGAAGTCCGAGCCGCCGCTTAGGGGTAGGCCGCTGAAGGGCCGGCCGAGCGCGGCCATGGCCAGCGAGACCAGGAAGCTGCGACCGCCACCCGCGTCCCCAGGCCCGGCAGCTGCGGCCGAGAGGCTCCCGCCTCGGAGCCCGCTGCGACCCCACGTCACGCCTTCTAGAACCCTCCACCCCAGGCCGCCCAGGGGCACGCCGGGATTTGTTGTGTGTGGCGAGCTGCTGCCGCGAGGGATGCCGGGAGTTGCAGTCCTTGCAGACTACAAGCAAGATGGCTGCCCCGCTTTCTTCGCGAAGGCTTGAGGCGATGTAATAGGTTCAAATCCTCACTTCGCAAATAATAGCACCTATCGTCATTGGGTTGATGTGAGGAAAAAATGATGTAAGCCTTCAAAGTGGCCGAGCGCTGTAGCTCACGCCTATAATCCCAGCACTTCAGTAGGATGAGGCAGGAGGATGGCTTGAGTCTAAGAGTTCAATACCAGCCTGGGCAACACAGCGAGACCTTGTCTCTGCAAAAAATAAAAAAAATAATTGGACGTGGTGGCACATGCCTGTAATCCTAGCTACTCGGGAGGCTTAAGTGGATTGCCTAAGCCCAGGAGGTTGAGGCTGAATGAGCTGTGATCACAGCACTGCACTCCAGCCTGGGTGAGAGTGAGAACCCGACTAGAAAAAAAAAAAAAAGGAAAGAAAGAACCTCTAAAGCCCTTAGCACACTGCCTGGCACACAGTACACACTCATGAATTATCAGCTATTGATATAAGTTAATCTATTAATATAAATATGACAGTTTTTTTTTTTTGAGTTGGAGTCTCACTGTCACTCAGACTGGAGTGCAGTGGCTGGTCCCGGCCACTGCAGCCTCGACCTGCTGGGCTCCGGCGATCCTTCCACCTCAGCCTTCCAAATAGCTGGAACTACAGGCGTGCGCTACCATGCCCAGCTGATTTTTGATTTATTGTAGAGATGAGGTCTCGCCAAGTTGCCCAGGAGGGTCTCGAATCCTCGGGCTCAGGCAATCCACTCACCTCAGCCTTCCAAAGTGCTGGGATTACAGGCTGAGCCGCTGAGCCCGGCTTTATATGACAGTTTTTTGTTTTTTTTGTTTTTTTTGAGTTGGAGTCTCACTCTGTCGCCCAGACTGGAGTGCAGTGGCCGCTCCCGGCCACCGCAGCCTCGCCTGCTGGGCTACAGTGATCCTTCCACCTCAGCCTTCCAAGTAGTCGGAATTACAGGCACGCGCTACCACGCCCGGCTGATTTTTTGATTTATTGTAGAGATGAGGTCTCGCTGCCCAGGCGGGTCTCGACCCACGGGCTCAGGCAATCCACTCACCTCAGCCTCCCAAAGGTGCGGGATTACAGGCTGGGCCACCGAGCCCGGCAATATGACAGTTTAATGTAAATAAAGTTGGTGATGCCTTAGCCAGAATAGCATGGAGGATCAGTAAAAAGTCTCAGAGTGCTTGTGAGAGGTATTAGCAAACCTCCCAGCCTCTGGTTGGGACATTCAGAGACAGTCACAGGATCTCCTGCTTGGACTCGGCAGATAAATGGGCTAGCAGAGCTGGTCAACCTCGACCACTGATCATGCCCCATTTTTTCTGTCTCAGGGGTGGGACCACCATCCAGTGTAAGCTGTTTATGCCAATGTCAATGCCCTTCGGCCAAAGACCACCCAGAACACACCTGTATGTAACTGACCAAAGACAAATTTATTGACTCATTGCAGGTATGGAGTGTCTCCCTAGGAAGGTGTTAGAAAGGGATTTTTTTTTTTTTTTTTTAGTTGGAGTCTCACTTTTGTCACTCAGGCTGGAGTGCAATGGCAGCATGCTCACAGCCACTGCAGCCTTGACCTGCTGGGCTTAGATGATCCCTCTGCCTCAGCCTTCCAAGTAGCTGGAACTACAGATGCCTGCCACTACGCCTGGCTAGTTTTTTGTGTGTGTGTGTGTGTGTGACTTATTGTAGAGTGGAGGTCTCATTAAGTTACCCAGGCTGATCTCGAACTCCTCACTTCAGGCAATCCTCTTGCCTGGGCCTCCCAAAGTGCTAGGATTACAGGCTGAGTTACTGCATCCCGCCAGAAAGGGATTCTTACAGGATTTGGGCTTGTGCTAGGTGATTTGGGGGAAGGTTCAAGAAAGCAGCTTTGTTCTGGAATTAGTACTCAGGAAGAAGGGATAAATCTGTGATGGGGTATCTTAACCAATTTTTTTCTAAAAGGTGGGAGGAATGAAGGGAGGCTAAACCTGTAATTGGTAAAGAATCAACAGTTCTTCATATTAGCAGGATGGGCGGATGTTTAGTCATTTTTGTGATTTGGACAATGTCCATGTTTTGGTCAGTGTTTAGACATTATTACAAAGTGATTCACAGGGTCAGAGTAGCCTTGCTTGATGTTGACATTCTGTTAAATTGTTTATGTTATTTGGAGGACACCAAGGCCTAACAGTGTCAGGCCAGTTTCTGCATGCTTTTCTCTTTCCAACCAAAAACAGGCATTATCATTGATGCCTCTTTTTTGTTCACATCCATATCTAATCAGTTAACAAGTTCTAAGAGGTTTACTTTTAAAGTGCTTCCAAGTCCTCCCCTGCCCACATGATCAAAGAAAAAAATTAATATCCCTGCATTGCCCAATCCAATATAATGGATTAGGTTACAGTTTTCTTTTTTTGAGTTGGAGTCTCACTCTGTCACCCAGACTGGAGTGAAGTGGCCGCTCCCAGCCACCGCAGCCTCGACCTGCTGGGCTCTGGCGATCTTTCCGTCTCAGCCTTCCAAGTAGCTGGAACTACAGGCGCGCGCTACCTGCCCAGCTAATTTTTTGATTTATTGTAGAGATGAGGTCTCGCTGCCCAGGCGGGTATCGAACCAGCGGGCTCAGGCAATCCACTCACCTCGGCCTTCCAAAGCACAGGATTACAGGCTGAGCACCAAGCCTGGCCAGGTTACAGTTTTCTTAGTGACATTTACAATCTAATTTTGCCTGCCTAAAGTAATACCCTGCTTAATTAACTTGGATATAGTCCAGGCACGGTGGCTCACACCTATAATCCCAGTACTTTAGAAGGTGGAGGTGAGAGGATTGCCTGAGCCCAGGGATTCGAGACCAGCCTGGACAACTTGGTGAGACCTCTTCTCTATGATAAATCAAGAAAAATTAGCAGGGCGTGGTGGTGCATGCCTGTAGTTCCAGCTACTTGGAAGGCTGAGGCGGAAGGATTGCCTGATCACAGCAGGTCAAGGCTATAGTGGTTGTGAGCGTGCCACTGCACTGCAGCCTGGGCAACAGAGTGAGACTCCAACTCAAAATAAATAAAGAAAAAAGAAAAAAAAATTAAACTGAAATATAAAAGATACTTTCTTGGGTCATATCTACAAATGGCCATCTCATTCCTCACCATAAAAAAATACCCTTTCAGAGCCGGGCTCGGTGGCTCAGCCTGTAATCCCGCGCCTTGGGAGGCTGAGGTGAGTGGATTGCCTGAGCCTGTGGGTTCAAGATCCGCCTGGGCAACTTGGCGAGACCTCATCTCTACAATAAATCAAAACAATAGCCGGACGTGGTAGCGCGTGCCTGTAGCTCCAGCTACTTGGAAGGCTGAGGCAGAAGGATTACCGGAGCCCAGCAGGTCGAGGCTGTGGTGCCCGGGAGCGGCCACTGCACTCCAGTCTGGGTGACAGAGTGAGACTCCGACTCAAAAAAAACCCCTTCCATTACTGGGCACAGTGGCTCATGCCTGTAAGCCCAGCGCTTTGGAAGGCTGAGGCAGGAGAATTGCCTGAGCCCCGGCATTTGAAACCAGCTTAGGCAACACAGTGAGAACTTGTCTCTACAAAACATTTTAAAGGTAGCCAAATGTGGTAGTGCATACCTGTAGTCCTAGCTACTTGGGGAGGTAAGGCGGAAGGATCACCTGAGCCCAGGAGGTCAAGGACGCAGTGAGCCATGATCTGCACTCTAGCCTAACCAACAGAGTGAGACTCCAACTAAAAAAAAACCAAAAACCTTCCAGATAATATATATACATAAAAATATAAATACACATTTATAAAAAGGGAGTCACTCTGTAAATTATTCTGACACATGCCACCACGTCCAGTTAATTTTTGGATTCTTTGTAGAGACAAGGTCTCGCTATGTTGCCCAAGCTGGCCTCAAACTCCTGGGCTCAAGCAGTCCTCCTGCTTCGGCCTCCCAAAGTGCTGGGATTACAGGTATGAGCCACCATACCCGGAAAATTGACACTTCATTTCCACCCAATTAAATTTCTTGAAAAATTTCATTCTTTCATTATCTAATTCACAATTCTATACTAAGTTATATGCCTTTTATCAGTGTACTAAAATTAAGTTTGTTAAATGCTTTCTTTTTGCAGATGCTCCTCATGGAGATTAAGTCAAGTATTCTTCACAAATGACATGAATGCTTTTATTACCCCAGTTTTACAGATAAGAAAATTAAGACAAGTTGTCCCCAGTGCCCTCAGCCATAGGTGAATTAGCCAGTGCTCAACCCCAGGTCTGAGGCCCTACATCCTGCCCTAAACTTCTGGGCTCTACTCATCTCATTGAATTCCACAGAAGAAAGTGCTTGGGGCAATCAGTGAAAGCCTCACTACAGTATGTCTGAATGAGAGAGACTTTTGGGGCTTTAGACCCCTGGAAGTATAAGAGGAGGATCATTGTGCATTGTCTCCTCCTAACTTGGGAAGAGCAGCCACAGAACTTGACAGTGGCATCTGAAAGCCCCTCCTCTTCTCAGTGACTGTCCAGCTCTGCCTCTTTGAGGCTACTTCCCAGTTCACTTCTCATAGGACTGGTGGGTCAGAGACATTCAAATACTTAGATAATCCCTTCCTAAGTTCTTTTTCCTGGTGGCTAATCTTATCTGTTCCCTTTTAAAAACAATCTTTTCTGGCTACATAACTAACACAGGATCTTAGGAGAAAGTTAGTGGTGGTGGAGATAAAAGTATAGAGAAGCAAATAAAATAATACCATCCCACAGGAAGTTCCATTATTATGAATAACCTTCCCATCTTTTTTCGTATTTTCTTACATACACATAAGAGCTCTAGATTTTCTCATTTCACTCTCACAACTGGACCACAGGTACTGATATGATTCTGTGTTACAGATGACAGAACTAAGGCTTAAAGAAGATGAGTAATTATTTGATAGAGTTTAGCAAGA